CGTACAACGCACGTTAAAAATATGTAATGTAATAATATATAGCAGCCAATACAACAACCAAGAACCCATACCCAAGACCCCAACCGCTCAATCATTTGCTGCCATTTTTTAGCCAACATCTCAAGTTGATCGTTTTGTTGGTGTTATTTTGCTATTTGTAGTAAAAAATAAAATGGAAAATAAATAAGAAAAAAATACGTTGTAATTTGCATGAGTAACTGAGTTGTTCTCTAATTCCTATTAGATCACGTAGCAAATGGCAAAATGTACTAGAAATGCGGTTGATTCATGCATCCAGCGGTTTTCCAATTTTCTGCGGTTGTCGAAGCGAAGTAAATGAAATGTGTGCATATCGCATATATATATAAGGCAATATATGGCAAAACAAGTGCCGCTTTTGTTTTTTTATGATTAGAACGAATGTGGGCTCAGTTTGCAGTCGGCTTTTGTGTTTTTTTTACAATTCAATCAAAAGTAAATATAAATAAAATCACCGGTTCCTGGTACCACAAATAGTAGTGCAACAACTGATATGGATTATGGACACGTATCTGCTACACCCCCTGACTCGTCCCTCCCCCTCTCAATAGTAATTTGAACTTGCTTATAGAATTTATAGCGCCCAATTGGATTTGGAAAAAGAAAACTACAAAAATAACTTCAAAAACAACCACAACAATTCAACTCAATTCTCGCTTGTTGCAAGTCCAATTTATGCAGCCACAGCATGCCACATGTGGCACTCCTCTGCTTTGTCGGATTCTTGAGCACATTCCAAAAATAAGAAGCGACTTGAAGACTTGAAGACTGTCGCCCAAAATTAACGAGTGTTTGTCTTTATTTATTAATATTTATTTGACTGCACCCAAAAATAAGAATCGTGCACATAAATAACGTTTTTGTTTATAAACATAAGCAGTTCGATTCCCTGAAAATAGAAAGTGTTGGATATGTTAAACAAACTTTGAAAATTACTCGGGCAAGATCGGAAAATTACCGGAAAAATGTGATATGATCTTATTTTACTTATTTTCTCTGATCAGCTTCCGATTCACTTCAAAGAGTGTATATGAAAATTCATGGAAGACTGTACATTTTGCACGATTTTTATTATAAAATGCTTGCAGGGCTGAAATTTTTGAAACAGATTTATTTTGAACAAAAGTGGAATATACGTTCAATTGACCTGGAATACATCTAAGTTGATATTAAGGAAGATTAAACCGTGACGAAAGTAGAATTTTCTTGGAATTTGCTGGAATACTTGTTTAAAGACGATTAAAGCTTGACGAAAGTAGAATTTTCTTAGAATTTGCTTGGATTACTTGTTTAAAGACGATTAAAGCTTGACGAAAGGAGAAAACTACTTTTAGACCTTCTAATTGTTATAACAGAAGATAAAAGTTTGACGAAATTAAAAATTTCATCGAATTTGCTTTATTCCAGGCAAGAAAAACATATTGAAAGTTGAATTTTCGTCCATTTGGGCTTGAATAACTGGCAAGTTGATCTTAAAGACGATTAAAGTTTGACGAACGTAGAATTGACCGGCAATTGACCTGGAATCTATCTGCCAAGTCGAATATTAAAGACGATTAAGATTAAGCCTTGACATTAAGACGCATGCAGCTTATTGGCTGGATATGGTTTATGTGTGGAAAAATTCCACTCTTAATGAAATACAAACAATCAAACAAACAGGCAGCCAGCAACAAGCAACAAGCAAAAGGTCTACACAAAAATAGGCAGCAATGAAAATGAAAATTTCTTTCTATTCGTTTTTATGTTAAAGCAATTCACGTGTGAAATGAATAAAGTGTTGATATGTGGGTTGTGTTAGGTTTGGGTGAGGAGGCGGGGTGTCAAAGGGGGAAAGCAGGAATTTCAACGCAGCGGGGGAAACAATGGGAATGAGTTATGTAGGAGAAGAAGAAGAAGCAAAAGGAAAAGAAAAAACGCAAGAGCAGCAGGCAGATGCATAAAGAATAGCGGCGAATCGAAAGACGCAAAAGAAATTGCATACGAAACAAATCAAGTTCAGGGCACAAATTTCGTAACGTTTTTTTTCGTCTTTTTTTTGGCTTGGCGAAGAATGGCAATGAAAAGTGGCTGTTGTTGTTGTCATATGTACACACATAACATAAAAAAGTACACGCTCACATACAAGATCAGCTCTGAAAAGCATACTAATTAAAAAAGTAAGTGTGTGCTTTGCGAAAGTATGCGTTCTGACTGCTCATGTCAAGTAACTCGACTGGCTATCAAAACCAAAAAAATAAACGAAAGCAACAACAACACAGTGACAGTATGGTGTAAGCCGAGCTTTGTTGTCGAAGCGATGCTCACGCATTGCAGTCGCAGCAGAAGCTGACGCCGAAGCCGGCAGCAGAAAGCAGAAGCAGAGAGAGAGAGGAGAGAAATAAATTAAAACTCACGTAGGCTGCAAGCGGACGTGAGCGTCGACCCCTGCCCTCGCCCCCGCCACGTTAACAACCATCTACGCGGCGTCGAGCGAATTTTGTTGTTTCTTTTTTTTTTGTCGTGTGTTAAGTTGTTGATTGAAGGGTATTTGGTTTGAGTACGCACACACACACACACATGCATGTGTATGCGTTGTGCTATGTTGGAAAGCGTACTATAAAAGCTGCGTGCAAGCTGTATATATATGTGTGCGTGTGTGTGTGTGGGCAAAACTTTGGTGCTAAAGCGTGGGCAGCGTATGATAATTTAACAGTATTCAGCCTGGCTTTTATTCGTTTTTTTTTTTGTAGAGCAGAACTCTGTCCAATTATACAAAATATTTATAGGATAATATTTCCCCAGCAGTTGTTGCATCTTTGTAAACAGATTTAAAAATCATAAATTGAATATCTAAGCTTCTAAGCCCAATGCACACTCACACCCACACACACACTCAAATACCATGTGCTGTTGCAACCAAAAAAAATATATAAAAATTATGTGGTACAACAAAAACAAAAAAAACAACACAAGACTGTACTAAATTGAACTGGAAAGTGCACGGTTGTTGGCTGCTTCAAAAGCGGGTTGGTTCTTTTTCAGTTAACACGAGAGAACAACAAAAAAATGTGGAAGAAGAGAAACACGTTGTAAAAGAGCCAAACCGAAACAGGTAGTAAAAAATAAACAACGTAACGAGGCCCGAGTGCTGTTGTTGTTGTTGCCGCATTTTGTTGCCGTATTTTGTTGCTTGACAGCGGAGGGAGAAAGGGAACAAAGCGCTTAGAAATTCAACTAAAATACAACATATTCGAAGCAGTCGAACTCGAACTCGAATCCGAACCCAAAGCCGAACTCGAAGCCGAACACGAGTCGACACCACTCGACTCAACCCGACGCACCTCGCCTCGCCTTTTTTTCAATCCAGGCTAATATACTAGGCAGATAGCTAATAGGGTTTGAGCCCGGTGCCAGCTCCGTGCCGCTGTCGTCAGCCAACAGTAATAATTTGAGCCCTAACAAAACTGACTATCTGACTTAGAGTGTGTGTGTGTGTGTGTTGTGTGTGTGTGTGTGTGTGTGTGTGTGTACGACACTCAATGGGGTTAGTGACCCAAAACTTTGTTTGATAGTGAAAACAGTTTGAGCATGGCTTCAAAAGCTGAACATAATATATATGAAAGGCATGCAGTAAAATGCACAACTGCTACATAACTTTATTCATAGGTTGGGCACTCACACACACATACTTATTAATATATATTTACATACAAACATATATATATATATATATATACATACATTGTCCAAGAGAGGGCCCTCAATACGAAATGAAATTGAGCGTTGGCAGCCTTAGCTAGTCTTATACTCTGTTCGCAATCATAAAAAGGGTATATTGTTTGTATGCTAAGTTCGTTTGGTTGTCTGCGCGTTTGGAAAACTTATATTCCAATATACACTGCACCAACATAATAAATACCAATATATAAGCCGGTTTAAGCGAATGCATTTAAACAGTTTCAGAGCATGCAAGTGAAAATGACAATCTTAATTCAAGAACAAAATTGACAAATGATTGCCCCAAATAACGCTTTATAAAAAAAGGCTCTAGTTTTTTTGGCTTTTCAAAATAATATTTGCATAAAGTTGATCTCTCTATAAAATTCTACACTTGATCTAAGCTGAAATTTTGGGTTGAAAATGCTTTAACCAACAAGATTAGTTAAAAACTGTATATTTGATCGGTAATTACAGTAATATTTTGTTATTACCAGTTTTAAAGTATAATTACTGTCTTGCAGTTAATTAACCATGTGTTTTTCAGATATTATATTAGAGCTGCGAACGCCAAACTAACTTTTTGCAACAAATATCTTTTGAATCGTGACGAGTTTTACCCAAGTCCATTATCCTTGAAGACAGCCTGTTCCAACATACAGGACATTTAAGCAAATTTAGACAAGACAGAAGTCATTGTTTAAGCATTAAATAGATATATATTTTTTTAATTTATTCTGCATTTCACTCACAATATTATTATTATTATTGTTATTAATAATGATTCTCACTGCATTCTTCTATTTCAGCTCGAAGGAACTGCGCAACATGCCCTAAAAAATGATGTGCAATTAAAAATATTTATTTAATAAATAGGTCTAGCAAATGAATGAAGTTGACGCCATAAAATACACAACAAAATCAAAACGCATAAATATGTGCTAACAAATAATGAAATAAGTAACAAAAAAAAACCAAAATCAAGCATAATGTACATAAATAACAAGTGTAAAGTATGTATTAGCTGCATCTAGAATATATATATATATATTTATAAATATATATATATATATTATATATCTTTATCTGTGCGTGTTACGATGCTGTCCAGTGTAGTTCAAGTGGATGCCACGTCGAATGGCATGCAGCAGCAATATCTCTAATCAAATCAAATATTTAAATTCAATTATATTTGTATATGTAGCATTGAGTGTAAATCAAATTATTGCATACAATTTGGTTGTCGTTCAAAATTGACGACCAATAAAATAAAACAAAAAATACAAAAAAATACAAATAAAAAAAACCAATAAGCCAACGCGTCATCGAATCCAATATCGTATTTATTACCCTCAAGGCAACAGCGAGACGGCTTCATCACGGAGTCCTTAGATTTTTTTTCCACGGAGGACGACGATCTCGAGATGGATATACTACCGAGCGGGACTATATTCAACGAACTGGAGCGCATCTGCACAACGGGCTATTTCTCATCACAGCCATCGATCGAGGATCAATGGCAACAGGTGAGTGGCAACCATCTGCGCACATTGAGATTAAGTGTGTCTCCATTAAAAACATTAATCAATCATCTATACCTGTACGATTGATGATACTGTTAGCATTTCTTTTTTTTTTGATTGATAAGAAAGTAAACACAATAAAAGTAGCGGTTAGCTCAGGCAATGCCGATTAGATACTCTTTGTAGACTGGAGTCGAATTGCCCACATCTAACTTTCACAATAAATTTAAAAATTTAACGATTTTTCCTATAAGAACAGTCAGACATTAGTTTTAGAATCCCTAAGAAATCGATGTCTAAATCTAAGCAATATTATTCTGCCTGCTACGATTAGATTTCAAGTAATATTTCTGTTTAAAAAAGTTTCTATATAACGAATTGATTTACTCATTACGAGCAAATTCGATTGGATCAAAATATGTCCGTGCGTTTATCACACATACATATATTTATATAATTGACGTCATATCTACATTTTGTTCGGATTATTTTTTTATTTTTTCGCCAGTATCAATGTCCATAGTTGGGCTGTTTTATCTTTGACTTAAACGTTTTTGCCTGCAGACTTATGCCTGATTTGCGGGTGGGCTTTAAACAATAAACTAGTTACGCCATTGCTGGTAGAAAAGAGAAGAAGAAATCAATAAGAAATTTACCAATTCTGCTTAGACACAATCAGAAGAAACCCAAAAATAGATTCTTTGCTTTTTTGGCCACTTTTGTTTAGTCAAGTTGTGTAAATAAAAAACAAATAAATGAACTGTAGATGTTTTGTTTGCCCACATCTGAAGCACTAAAATTAAACAGCTATCATTAAAAGGCGAATGCACACAAACATATATAATACACATTTTATACACAGCATATGTTTAAATGAATATATTTCATATAAATATATTTCTGCAATATGAAAAGAAAATAAATATATATAAAATATATATAAATATATATATACATATATGTATATATGTAGATGCGGCCATAAATTAGCAGTCGCCGCCACTGTCGATTATCATCTGAGTGTATACATATTCATATATATATACAAATAGTATGTATTTTTTGCAAATACATTTGGAATTGAGTATTAAATAATATGTATACAAATATGCACAAACAAGCAAACACTTAGCAGTCGTGTTTATGTGAAAAATGTATTTCTGTCTTATACATTATTTTATTTTTTGATAAACAGCGACTAACAAAGCTCTGACTTATCAAGAGCACCAGCTGATTTCGCGTTTTTTTTTAATATTATTTTTTATTTTTGTTTGCATTTATTATCAAAAACGCCGAGTTGACGGCTGGCTTATCATCATGTGACGCATATTTTGAATGCTTGAGCGACATTCTAAGAAAAAAAGGCAGTTACTGTTTGAATAAGAATAAGAGTGTTGCATGGCAGATATACAACTAAATATATTAACTTCTTATTGTTATTATTATTATTATTACTGGGAGCTTCATTCACTGCGACCTAGTTTGATCTATTGTGCTGTGACTCTATAACTCTTTCATTAACCCCGAATCTTGAGCTGATGGTGATGGGGTTTTCTATGTCGTTCGAGCTTAAGACATGTTTTACTAGGATACTTCATCTTCCTCTGGCTAAGACGACACAATCCGCTTTGATGTGCTCTGAGCAAGCCTCCATCCATTAACTTAAATGGATCCAATTATAACACGCTGGCTTAGTTTTTCGCCCAAATTCGTTTACTTTTTGTAAGCACATACACTCGAACATAATATCGCTCTGAAATTTATGAACAGGAAAAATGAATTGTTTTTAGAAATGATTTCAAAATATATTGAAAATTTTCCTTTTATACTTCTATTTTTTCCGAAATATATATGCTTAAACTGAAATTAAGAATAGAAAATCCATGGTTTTTAGAAAGACACAACCCACCGCTTTAGAAATATAATATCTTAATAATAAGATTTGTTACACTTGACGTCAAAAGTGTGGCGATATCTAAATTTTTTGCTGAGTGTACGCAACATTGTTTAAACAACTTGGGCGATTTATGTGGTGTTTATTTATTTAAGCAAATATGCCTGATTGAAATCTCAACTATTTCACACATGGAAAAATAAAAAAACTGAACACAAATTCCAACAATTTCAATAAATGATTTTTAGTGTTTTTTTTTTTTACTGATACACACATAATTGTATTACTGTAATTTCAATAGATATTCAAAATCTTAGCATTCCTTTAAGTTTGTTGGAATTGCTGAAGTTAAACTCTCGACTTTTATGCAGCTTGCAACCAAGTTCAGCTTTTCACAATCCACTTGTTTGATTTAAACAACTTAACAAGTTTTCCTTCATCTGCAGCATTTTTTTTTTTTTTTTTTGCTCAACTTTGAATTGCCTATTATTATTTATTTATAACACTTTAAAAGTTTTTTGCTGGGTTTCTTCTTGCTGGCGGCTGTAAAGTTTAAATTGCCGAATAATTAAGGAAGCTTGTTGCTTGAAAATATGTCAGACAAGTGGCCCGAAAAGTAACAGAACAAAATAATAAAACATTTCAAATATCGAATGCCAGAAGGGCGCAACGCTGTAATTAATATATACTATATACATATATATACTATATGCGACGGATGTTTTGCTTATTTCCCGTTGACTTCCGGGTGTTTCCGTTTGTGTTTTTGTGCTCTGTTTGTGTTTTATTGAAATTGTTTGTGTTCTCACTCTCCCATTTCACTATTTGTGTGTGTGTGTGTGTGTGTGTGTGTGTGTGTGTGTTTGTATGTAAATGCTGCGTCATGTGGACGCCGTCATTTGTTTCGGACACTTGTCTGCAATTTCAGACAGCTGTGGCAAAGATAAACAAACCACGCTAAATTTATATCTCTATCCGTATGTAAAGAAACATCTGCATCTCTCAGATGTTGCTGTGAAATCATGCTTTTCACTTACCAGACGAGCATTAAATCGTGGCGTTTACAGCCCAGCTCTCTTTTCATTAATATCAATAATCAGCCTTCAAACTTGTATTTTCGCTTAACAAACACCTGCAAACATAAAAATCATTTATGTATAGGTGTGAAAATTATAATATATATAATATATATATAAATATAAACAAAAATAAATAAAATAGATTTCTTAGGCACATAGACCTAGAATCTGAGGTTATCAAATAAAACTAACGATTTCAGCAAAGCTAATGCCGGAGAATGATGTTAAAGAAAGCATGAAATGTTGTGGAAACCGGTGTTGCAAAGTTTTGTTTGTTTTGTTTGTAAAAAATTCTAAATGCTTACAAATCATTATCAACAATACCAAATTCCTTTAACCCCTGATGGACTATTTTGAATTTATACAGAATTATTGTAGTACATATATACGTGTATATATTCAAATACATACGCTTATCGTTAGAGATTAATTGAGCACGAAATGCACAAATTATATATTGGATTATTTTCCAATTTGCGCAGACAAGTGGCGAAATCAGACCGATATCTGCCTGGGTCTTTCGACTACCCAGATATATGCCCGACCCCCTCCATCCAACCAACCAACGATGCACACAATATGCAATCAGCAGTTAACGTTTAACACACAAAAACGTAACAAACTCAAAAAGGCACGTAGCAAACCAAACCAAAAAAAAAAAAAAAAAAAAAAAATGAAATAAGAAAAAAATAGCAAAAAAGAAATAAAACAAAATAAGGGAGCAAAAAATGCGGCACTGCTAAATTCATGAAGACAGATGCACACACATATCCTGTGACATACACTCATACACACACACACACACACGCGTAGAGGTAATAAGCCAAGAGCAGCCACAACTACAATTCCACCCACTTCATTGACTAACACGTCGCCAACGCATTCCTTTTGGCAGTCAAGCAAGTGCTTGGTTTTTTTTCTCTTTTGAAAAATACTAGAGGCAAGCAACAAAGGGAAAGCAATCCGAAATACGTGCAATTGCTCAAAATATATATGTATATATATATATATATATATATATATATGTGCTCAACGTGGCCCAAACGTGAGGACCAAGCGACTGTATGCTTTAAATGCTTTGCAGGCAACTCAACGCCCAACAACGAGACACAATCCTCGAACAGCCACTGCCACTGCCACTGCCACAGCCACTTCCTTGTGGAAGAGTAACACCCCCGTAGCCCTGTCACCCCCTCGGCCAATTTCTAGCTCACATGATAGTCCAAGTGGCTGCGTTTAGCTTCTCTGCACTACGTGGCGTTGCCGTTGCTACTCCTATTACCCTCAATCATTTATCATGTTGCCTGCAATTAATCATCAAATGTGCCAGTTCACATACACACTATCAAAGTGTGCTAATGTGTGTGTGTGTGTGTATGTGTGTGTGTGGCACGTCCCTTATACAATAGTAGTTGCTGTGGCTGCCTTGCCAGTTTTACACATAATTTGAAATGCTAAAATATGTGTCTTCACACATAAGCACACATATATGTATATAGATTTAGTTCCTCTACTTGATCGTTCACAAAACCCAATCAGCTAACCTTAATGGCCCGGCGAAGTCCACATCTCGTTGCAGCTGCCATCATATCAAAGTTGCGACGATTAAATGTTTGAAGTTACTGCAACTTGCTAGCCAAAAGTTTTGAACATCCTCAGCATAAGCCAAGACTGCGGTTTCCCTTCAGTGTTTAAAGTCATCGAATAATGAGCTAAAACCTTTGCACACTCAACGTGTTATGTATTACCATAACAATAACTAAACAATTGTGTACTTATTTCAGCTTGACTGGCTGACAGTTATCCGCATACAATAGTGCACCGAAAACACACCACAAACTAGCCCCGTGCAACACTTTTTGCACAGCTGGTGGTGCGTCACACATTTCGCACACGTCCGCGGCCAGTCTAAGCCGGGCATCCCCTAAAACTATACGATACAACCAATATTCACCCAAGACTGGACCTCAGCGAGCTTCAAAGCGGCTGATAAAAATGTTCTGCGAGTGCTCAATTACACTCAGAAATAT